TATGGACAATGTTATCAATCAGTATGATGAAGAGATCTGTTTTTGTCGCTTTGGGTAGTGTCATAGATCAAGCAAGAGAAGAAAATCAAAAGGAAAGAAAAATCATTTGGTAGCCATTGAATAGTATGATAATCTTGGATTTCTTCAAGCGTAGCTTCTTTTGTTCTCCAAAAAGCATATGTATTGAAGATCGAGAAGCTCTAGAAACATTTGAAATACCATTGTAACGTCTAAACTTTCGAATATCAATGAATTTTTGTGAAGATATTGCAGAAACTTCGAAAGTTATTGTCAGAAACTCAAAATGGTGTTTTCTAGAACAAAAAATGTATCTTCATAAATTACTCTTTACGTACAACAAATTAATCGGGAGAGCAAAGCAATATCTGAAGATATCTTGTATCGTTTCTGAATATAGTATTTGTGTAAAACTTTGAGTATAACAAATAGCGACAGTCAAAAATAGCAGCGATGAAAAACATCGAAAGAGAGATATCGGAAACTAAAAAATCGCGAAGAAAAATTAGCAATAACATTTAATAATCCTTACTGTTTAATCCGTCGGAAATATTTTTTTCAATCCACATATTCGATGCCAGTTCTGAAATTATATTAGGATTGTCACCATGCATATTGTATGTATTACTAAATGCGTAGAATATCGAGGAATATTTCTCTTTTTCAATCAATGAATAAAAACTGATTTGATTATATCTCTTTATATACGATCTTATTACTATTGTAAAATGACAAATATGAGTCATGAAAAATTTCTTAACCGTATCAATGAAAGGTACGTCTGAAAGTTTTCTTTTCCTTCATTTCTATTGATTCGATGTGCATATTTACATATATACATGCAATGATTTTATTTTGGAGATAAATTGAGCGTTATCTCTTATTTTTCTATGAGATTTTTTTCTAAAATAATATTCAATTGAGTGGTTTTTTCTTGACTTCAATGAGTAGAATATGTTTTGCACGTAAAGAATATATGAATAAATATGACAGATCATGAGAAAGTTTTTTATTCTGTCAAGTGACCAATGTTACCTCTCATCTGCTCATTAATCATATTTAATAAAATAGTATATTTTCATTAATTCATCGAATAATGTAAAAGCAAGTGTTTAGTATTTTTAAATGATTATTAATTTTAAAAGATAATCACAAAGCAAAAACAACCTTTTTTTAACAACAATGCTCAGTAGTAATAAAATATTTAGTCAATATTATTTATTCTATATTATGATTTAAAAAAGAAAAATAAATTTCTAATAAAACAAATACTAATTCAAAAATATGGACAGAGAAAAATACACAAAGTTCTTATGCTAACAGAGAAACGACATTCTACAAAAAAATGAGAATAGACCAGATTTTGATTATCTTGATGAAAATATTCTTTTCGATAATAAAAAATACCTAAACTATTTAATTAAGCATGAATAATCTTTATAGATTTCAAAAACTAATATTACAATAATCACAATATATATTTTAACATTTTATAAATAAAAAACATATTATTGTTTGACACGAAGGAAAAACGATAGAAATATTGATTAATTGATAAGAAAAATTACTCATTGTGTTTCATTAAATTCAGTGAATAAAGAAAAAAATAATATCCAAGCATGTATCAAAAGAAATTTGGACTATATATCGTCCTTTTACTTACATATCGATTATAAGATTCAACTATTGAGGGTGTGGGTGTCGATATGTATTCTCTTAACACACGTCCATACCCACACATTTACACTTACACTTCACACACGCACCCACACCCACCCTTTAATGATTTGAAAAATCGGAGTATAGGATATCGACATGTCTGTCACAGTCTGGTGATTACAGAGGGCATGAGTTCAATATCTTGCTCTGAGCCTTCAACACTCATTTCGTAAAAAACATTTAAAAATATATGGTGAAGATTTAGACCGAGAAATTCAGATTTCGCCCCCCTGCGAGCCTTTATCTCAAATGAATGCGATAGACATAACGACATCTCTCCATTAAGATTGAAGCAACTCCGTTATGTTTCACATTTTAATTCCGTAGGAATTGCGCTTAAAGCTTTTCAATTATGTTTTACAAATTGAAGAGATATGAGCGCGCTCGTACCGTTTCACAATGACTGTATAGATTTTCCAGTAAACCCTTTATTTAGATACATGTAGGTTACACACGAGAAAGCAATAGTCAAACAAACACGATAGATAGGATGATAAATAAATAACTGTTTAGAGAGCTATAGAACAGATTTATTCTGTTATTTCTAAATACATATCCTCTTTATTTATTCGAGAAATCGGCTACCGATAAAAGTTTGACTAAATTCTTTCTTATAATGCGTCGAAGGTAGAACATGAAGAACAAATCCCAATATTTGTGGTGTATAGGAAAGAAGACTAGCAGCAAGAAGACTATGACGTTTCCAATCGTTCAATTGTGTACAAGCCAAAGTGAATGAGAGTATTGTTTGTGGTAGTGATGATAAGACAATAATCACAGGTGTGATATACAATTCCTTCTGACGATTTATTTGCACTTTTAACACTCGACTTAAAGCTTTATTTCTTCCTCCTTGTTCTCTGACGTAGCTTGTCTTGGCTCGACTTCGAGCTGCTAGAACAATCAGAAGAGTAATGGCAATGATTTGAATAAAAAACGGAATTAATGAATGAAATAAAGAACTAGCACGATTGAACATAGCCATATATTTTTGTTTGAAATTAGTAACACATTGTAATGCATCTTGATCAGGTCGTTCTATTGTTGTATAGATCAAAATTTCATGAATATGTGTAACAAAGAGAAGAACAATAATAATAATAGTCAAATAGATAGCTAAGCGAACATTTTTCACTAGAGTCGAAGAAGGCATTAGAATGAGAAATAAACGATTCAATGAGATGCAACTTGTCAACCAAAATGATGATCGTGTTAGTACAGAAAGGAGATAATTCACTGATTTACATGATATTTGATTAATCATTCCCATTGATCCGAGTAAAATATGAAGGAATTTAGCAAAAAGACAAAATATGACACATTGATTAAGAATCGAAATAAATAAAAGAAAATTTCCAACAGCATTCTTTCGTAGTTGTGGTCGATAAAAGGTAAAAAATGAACAAAAATTTGTGAAAAAACCAATGACAGTAAATAAAAATGCCAAAACAGTATAAACAATTTGAACAATTATTGGATCCGAGACAAGAAGTGAATCGAGTGTAAATCCAAATGCTTCCATACTAAATTCACATATCGATCCTCGATAACAATGTGGACAAAGACAAATAAAATCTGTTCGATTGTCTAAATTACCTTGAATACATTTTCCATTCGATAAACATCGATCACAATAATCAAGATGTAGATCATGTTCAAAACATTCGGCTCGATAATGATCACTCTCACAAATACATAAATAATCTGTATCATAGAAACAAAAACTTCCATTTCGACATATTTCGTGATATTGAAAAATGACTTTGTCACCAATAATAAAATTCGATGCATGAGGACAAAGTTCAGGTGTCGAAGGAATATTGATAATAGAAACATCAGGCTGAATGTAAAGAAGATAATAGTTGCCTATTGCATGATAATTTTCATAAGTTTTCAATACAGCTAGACGTGGTGCTAAAGTTCGACCATGATCGTACTGAACAATTGTTGGAATACCATGAGAAACTTGTTGATATTGCGGAATAAGATATAATGCAGCCATATGAACATCATAGAATTGAATGACAGATACTTTAATTTGACTATCCGTTGTATTCCATTTGATTTGAATAAGAACATTTTTAGATTGACATTTTTCAATGGAAAATAATTTATCACATTGACATTGGTAGGATCGTTCACCACTGGGATCATATGTTAAATGACAAGTTCCATTGATTCCACATGGAAATGAACTACATGCATTATAATGAAGATGACAACTCGGACCGAAATGAGATTTTGGACAAATACAGAAAGGTTTTGTATCATTTCCGTAATAATATGGTTTACATATTGAATCAAAAGAACAATAAGAATTACATATGGATAAATATTTATTACATTGTTTACCATAGAAACCATAGTTACACGAGCAATAGAATGAATTATTTGAGTTGAAGATAGGCTTACATTTGGAATTTTGATGACATGTGGTAATGTTTGAATTTAAGCACGGATCTAATGTTTTATTGCCGAACCATATAGGAAGTCTGAGAACAACAGCTAAGCGATAAGCAGGTAAGAAATCGAAAAAAATTGGATAATACCATGAGCCAAGTTCAATGATAGATTGATTTGATTCGTGAGAATAGAGTTCAAATCGAACTGAATAAGGATGAATATGTTCAATATCTATTCTATTGAAATAACGAAATTGTTTATGTTGTAACATATCTTTCGATCGAGAATAGACAAAATAGAATTTATATTTCTTAGTATCAAATCGAGGATTAAGATGAAATTCATAACGATCAATTATTCGTTCGTCATTAAATCGAAAAAGTACTTCCATAGTAAATTCTTTTCCAGTTAAGTTCAATAATGAAAAACTTGTCCAATCTATTTGAACAATAATTGTTAGACGATCACTGAAATATTGACATCGATCTCCATAGTAACTCGGTGGACATAGACAACTGATATTATTTTGTTCAAATACAGCAATACCTCGATTACACATGAACGAAATAGCATATAATAAAGAATTTTTTGATGCTCGACGAGGAGTAAATGTTCGAGTATTCTTGGACACGAAAGGAAAAAATGGCCAATTGATTTGTTGTTTTTGAGATGGTGACCATTTTTTCATATTTCGATAAAAAACACGAGAACTAGGAAGTCCAATCGGTTGACACCAATGTTCATCTTCTCCAAATTGACATTCAAATTCTTCATTACATCGACCATTTTTAATACAAATACCATTCAAACAGAGAACATCATTTAATCCAGAACAATAAGAAATATTTGTACTTTTATATGAGCAAAGTATCGGATCCCAACATGTATCATTTCGACAAGCATATGGATATTGAAAGAAACCACCATTAGAACATCGAAGATTATATCCTTTCATTTGATTATAACCATCGTCGAATGTATTCTTTTCATCTAGTCCACCATAACAATGAGCAATTCCATCACCGATTTGTGATAGAGGAATACAAGGATGGTTTTTAATAATATCAAGTGGATTTGTCACATTTAAATAACATGGATATTCGTATGAAAGATTGCAGAGATTTTTAAACGGTTGAAAATGAAATCGCTCTTTACATTTTGTTATTCGATCATTCAATATTTTCTCTAGTTTTCGATTATGTTTCGACCATGGTTGATTGAGACTAATCGCTTCTTCATCACTTCCATCTTGACAATCCCATGTACCATCACATATCCAACTTAATTCAATACATTGACCAGTTTTACATTGATATTGATCTTGACGACAAATCCATTGAAGACAGAAAACTGAAGATTCATCACTGTGATCACCAAGATTCCATTCACCATCACAATAAGCACGAAATCGTATACGAGAAGGTGATACTATATTTGAAATACTAACATTTGACTCGTGTTGTAAATAATCTTTTAATAAATTACAACTATCTTTATTGTCAATTTCACAAATAAACTCATTGAAAAAACGTCCAGATCCATAGAAATTTTCATCGAAATAATTATCACAATGAGTTGATTGATCACCTAATGTTTGTACTGTTAAACAAGAATGTTGATCGTTTGAACACTGAAATCGATATTGTTGAATATTCGAACAAAGATCTTCTTCGATTATTGTTCGTTCATCATCCGAATAAGGACAATCAATATATTGATTCGAAATACGATATTGTGAAATACATTCTCGTGTATATTGACAAATATCATAAAAACCATATGGTTGTCCATTGAACGTCAATGAATTATTCCAACATGTTTCATCATACTGAATAGACGAAGTAAAATTAGTAGAATTTGAAAGACATAATAGGTAGTCTAGGCGATTGAATCGAACCATTTCAAAAGTTAAACGAATTTCTTCACCAAAAGCGAATGCTTGATATCCTCGACATTTGATACTACCAAAAATTATTAACGAATCTGGCATCAAATTTAGATTTTCCCAATTATAGGAAAGAAATAAATAGGGACGAATTACAGCACCATCTGGATATGGATAGAGTATATTCTTATCACAATAATCATTCATTAACATGCGACAATTAGATGCATCACATGGACAATAGAAATTCGTAGATAAAGAACATCGAATTAAATAAATACACATTTCTCGTCTTGATTCATTAGAATTTATGATCATATTTGGATGACCAACATCATACCAAAGATTATTTGTACACATACCATTGATTTGTGTCCATAATTTTTCGCGATGATTTGTACGAACTTCACACATAAAATATAAATTTCGAAGATTATAACAATCATCAACGGTAGGTAATACATTTTGAAATGGAAAACGTTGTTGCCATCGCACACATTCACCATCACCACATGACCACGCCGTACGATAATCACATATGTGTTCATCACATTCTTGATTCGACGGTAATGTATTACACCACCAACCTGTATAGGTGTTTACTTTTTCATCACTCCAATCCATACAATCAGGTTCGCCTAAAGATGAAAACAAAAAAGAAATCAAACAACTAATTAACCGAGCCAAAAAACTTACCATCTAACCAAAATTCCTCAGCTATACACATACCATTCAAACATCGATATTCTCCTTGATTACATTCATTAAATTCGAGTTTATCACAATTTTCTTCATCCCGTCCATCAATACAATTTTGTTCACCATCACAAATATCATGCCAATCGAGACATAACAATCCGTGATCACAAAATAGAGTCTCATAACAAATAATCTGTCCATGATGTTGAATACCCCAACCATAAGATTCGTTTGATCTTTCATATTCATCGAATTGAGCATGTACAGATGATTCAAACGAATCACTGTTATGAGTCAGTTGATATTGACAATATTTACCGAATGTACCATGTAATGTACATTTACAGAGGAAGATATCGTTAGAGGTTAAATTCAAAGCTAAAGCATGCGCATATTTATCAGCCATTTCAACGCTTGAACTCCATTTTAAGACGTCTTGAGGCAAAATATTCGTACGAATCAAATCAGCAAAAGAAAATTTCTCACCATTATTCTGACAAGTTTCGTACGTGATCGAAACACGTGATTCAGACACACTTGGCCTCCGACAATAAATAGTCGTTTCACCTGCTGTCTTTGTATAATAAACACAATCGAAACGTTCGAGAGAATCTTTCAATTCAGTTTCGTACAGAAGAATAAATCCATCATGCGATGGCATAATGATAAAGAGAAACAATATCCACAGTATTAACATTGTTCGACACTTTAACACTTACTAAAAAAATGCACCGAAACAATCAGTCATTAGGGGTGACACTTTAACTTTACTTTAAAAGTTAAATTTAAAGTGGCACTTTAAACTTTAATTAAAGTAAAAATTTTAGCACTTTAACTTTAACTTTTTTTAAAAAGTTAAAGTGTTTGTGTCATGCCATACTATAGGGGTATCCTTAGGTCCTCCAGTGCTATACTATGAGGGTACCCTTCGGTCCTCAACTGTCATACTATAAGGGTACCTTTAGGTCCTGAACTGCCATACTATAGGGGTACCCTTAGGTCCTCAAGTGCCATACTATTTGGGTACCCTTAGGTCCTCAAGTGCTATACTATAAGGGTACCCTTGAGTTCTCAAGTCCTATTATTAGGGAGTACCCTTGGGTCCTCAAGAACAAAAGCCAAAGCTGTATTTTCGCCGTGTTGCACTGACGAGGGAGGGTCACCAACTGATCAATCGGTTTTGAGTCGGAACTATGTGCATCATATAGGTCATAATGAGCTATGAATACCGTGAAAAGAGTTCGGGCGGATAGCTTCTTACTGCTGAGATATAGCATTTTTACTATATTTTTCAGAAAAAGCTGTGGCCCCCCTCAGGAACATCAGAAAAAGTGAGTTTTGAGTTTCCGTCTGAAACTTTGCATGTAGATAGGCCTCAATGAGAATAGTTTATTGTGAATGTCTCAGATTTTTTGGTTGCTCCTAGTCTGAGATAAGAACATCGGATCCGCTGGTGTATATGAGCAATTTTACAACAACTGTATCTTAGGATAGGAACAACAAAAAAAGCTGAAACTTTCGCAATAAAGTATTTTCATCGAGGTCTATATCCATGCAAAGTTTGAAGTCGAAATTCGAAATTCAGTTTTCCAAGTGTTCCTGAGGGGAACCACAGCTCTTTTTTCTTAAACATACAGTAAAAAGGCAGTATCTCAGCAGTAATAAGCTATCCGCCCGAACTCTTTTCACGGTATTCATAGCTCATTAGGGCCTATATGATGCACATAGTTCCGGCTCAAAAGCGATTGATCAGTTGGTGACCCTCCCTCGTGAGTAGGAGCCCATATATATACCCATCAATCGATAGAGCATCCTCGATAACCCTATGTTTGGCCCGAACATGCCCATCGCTTTCCCTCACAATAAGAGAAACAAATTTGAACCCCCTCGGGTACCCCAATAATATGACTTGAGAAGCCAAGAGCCCCCCCCCCCCCCCCAATAGAATAGGACCTAAGGGTAGCCGTATAATATAGGCCTTGAGGGCCCAAGGATACCCCCATAGTATAAGACTTGAGGACCCAAGGGTACCCCAATAGTATGGCACTTGAGGACTCGAGAGTACCTCTATAGTATAGCACTTGCGGGCCTAAGGGTACCCCTATAGTATGGCAGTTCAGGACCTAAAAGTACCCGTGTAGTATGACAGTTGAGGGCCTAAGGGTACCCCTATGGTATGGCATGACACAAACACTTTAACTTTAAAAAAAAAGTTAAAGTTAAAGTGCTAAAATTTTTACTTTAATTAAAGTTTAAAGTTTTAAAGTGTTTCACTTTAATTAAAGTTAAAGTGCCACCCCTAGTTTGTAAATCAATCTTCATTTCTTGTATAACTACGCGAATAGAAACAAGAAATTCAAACGCTATTACTAAATGACAGTTAATATCTATGAGTAAATATTCAAACAAAAAAATAATAGAACATGTCATAGTAATATTGAAATATCAAGATAAGGTGAGAGTCACGTATCCATAAAATAAGTCATCACTTCTATTAGTCAATAGTTATTACATTTTTTAAATAAGATTAATTGTAGTGTTTATTGGCCTCTATATGATCAAAGTCATAAAATACAATAGGGGAAAAAACATCAAAACTGAAAAAAAAAATCAAAATTTCACTCTAAATTTGAAACTAGAAGACTAAAGATGCTCAAATTTTAGGAGAGTATCTACCGTTGGAACGTCTATAGCTCTAGAATAACTCATCCGTTTGTACGGAAACTAGGGTGTGGGTTTGGGTGAGCTATGTGGGTGTCGGTGTGGGTGTGGATCTTCTCTTCATTCACACCTACGCTCACATTCACACCCACACCCACGACTAGTCTTCAATATCTAGAAAAAAAGAGATACCACTTGATTTAATTTACAATTAATATTCATATTCGATTCAGCATGAGGTTTGTCTAGGACAAGCTGACGACAGTTCGAAAACTATTTCGTACCGTCGTTAGAGTTCTGGTTTAATGCAGAACTTCGATTGTATCTTTCAAGTATAGGCACATAAGCAAAGAGAAAACCGAAAGTTGACTTTAAGCCGTCGAATGAGATATTATGTGAGATCAAAATGATGATCATAGACTGAATCATGTGCTTCATCCTCGTTGACTTGCTCACTTTTTCTCGATCAGTTTTTATATGAAGTAAAGCTCATGTTCATTAATATCTGTGCGTGACTAAAGTAAGGAAAACTGATTCACATGCATTTGTCACATTCTATTGATCAAACAGTAAGCTTTTGCAAGCAGCAGATTTACACTGCATGAGTGCGTGATTTTCATAGCATTGAAATAGAGTTAGCTGAAATATTTTAGTGCTCGCAATTACCTTACTACCAACGACAAAATGACTGCAAATTGTATTTTTGATCTAAAATAGAAAATATATTATCAAAAGAAGCTTTCTTGGATATGCATAAATAGCTCAAGTTTAGACGTTCATAATCCATATAAAACTTTAATATGAAGATACAAACTGTTCATATACTTTCTGAGTCTTTGTAATATATGCTTGAATGACATTTAACGAAAACTCACGAGGAAACTTCCATAAGTAATTACAGAATTTATGCCCCATCTTTTGGCCATAACTAGAACTCAATGAGTTATGAAAGACATAAAGAGGACTCAGGCTCTTGTGCGTTTGTCTCCGACATACTGAGTTTTTAAAAAATTTTTCTTGTAGCATCCATTATTTACAGGCAAATCGTATTATCGAATTTTGACCTGAGACTTTGCCTACATCAACCTTTCAAGTAGAGTAGCTTATACAAAAAACCTCAGGTCTTTTTAGCATAATCATTAAGAGATGTATTTCCCAAAATATAGGCTCATTTCCGCATACATTTTAGAAAGGACGGATATTTTGAGAAATGAATATTTCATAATGACTATGTTAATTAGTCCTGAGATTTTTTGCATAAGCTACTCTACTTGAAAGGTTGATGTAGGCAAAGTCTCATGTCAAAATTCGATAATACGATTTGCCTGTAAATAATGGATGCTACAAGAAAAATTTTTTAATAACTCAATATCTTGGAAACAAACGCACAAGGACCTGAGTCCTCTTTATGTCTTTCATAACTCATTGAGTTCTAGTTATGGCCAAAAGATGGGGCATAAATTCTGTAATTACTTATGGAAGTTTCCTCGTGAGTTTCCGTTAAATGTCATTCAAGCATATATTACAAAGACTCAGAAAGTATATGAACAGTTTGTATCTTCATATTAAAGTTTTATATGGATTATAAACGTCTAAACTTGTGCTAGTTATGCATATCCAAGAAAACTTCTTTTGATAATATATTTTCTATTTTAGATCAAAAATACAACTTGCAGTCGTTTTGTCGTTGGTAGTTACTTACCATTGTATATCAAAGGAGAGCAGATAGAAATTCACTTATTATCGTTGTCATTTCGACGTATCAATTGACGAAGAGAGAATGGTTTTACCAGAGACGAACACACAAATGGGCCAGTTCCCGCATATCGCTAATCGGTTTTACGGTTTGAAGCTGAAGGATGTCCTCCAGTTCATCTCTTCACTGCTACTGCCACTAGTATTAGGTGTCTTCACTACTATCATCACCATTCAGCAGCAGAACACAGCTAGGGAACAACGTCTTGAAGATCAAATGGCAGCCAAACAGCTACGTGAGCTGGAGGGAACCTTGAGTGAGAATCGGTATAAAGACGACGCTTTTGACGCCCATATCAAAGAGATCGGTCAAATATTGGCGAATAACAATGGATCACTCACTTCGAATCTAGTCACGGCAACATTTGCTCGAGCCAAGACATTGACTATCTTTCGCCGACTAGATGCAAAACGTACCATTCAGATTCTTCGATTTCTTTACGAAACCGGGCAACTTGGCGTAAAAGACAACCAGTCTTCACTAGATATCTCAACAGCGGAACTTCATGAGGTCGATTTTCACTATTTAGCAATAAATAAGAAGAAATTGAATGATCTCTTCTTAGCTGGTGTCTTTCTTTGCACTGTGACATTTACATCGATAGAGATTAATCGCGCCAATTTCTCTGGCATTCAGCTGGACAATGTCAGTTTCTCATTGGCCCAACTCGAAAATGTCGACTTTACCTTTGCCACATTCAACAATGCCAATTTTCCGTCAGCTGAGTTGGGAAAGGTCAATCTTTCATTCAGCTCGATCTGCAATACAACTTTTTCATCCGCATCACTTTTCGACACCCATTTATCAAATGCCCGACTAGAAAATATAGATTTTTCATTCGCTCTGCTTCAAAACCTCGACTTTTCAAAGGCGCGGCTTTTCAACGTCAGTTTTGCACATGCACGGCTCTTCAATGTTGTGTTTCAATTCGGTACACTCCATGACATCGACTTTTTATTCGCGAAGCTCAGCCATCCCGTTTTCGTCGT